TGGGATCAGGTTTTAAAAAAACTACCCTAACCTAACTTAAAAATGAGAGGGCAGCGTATTTTTTATGCTTTAATGAATCTATTGAACGCAGGTTTTACATAAAGATTTTTTTAGTTACCTCTCAATTCAAATGGTTGTTTAAGTACAAGAAAAGTTTAATACTGTTTCAGAGAAGTTTTTGTATCTTTTTATTTCGTTATTGACTATTGATAGTTGTTTTGATGGAAAGTAAAAGTAAGAACCTTTTTATGTTTTGTACCTAGGCTTAAAATACATTTTTGTTAACAAAATTTGCTAAAAAATGAAAAGTCAGTCATAATTAAAATTAAAATAAATAAATAAAGTTGATTCCTAAAAATACACTGTTTTTAGTATGTCTATGTCTCTTCCCTGTCCATAAAGTATCCTCCCGTGTGCACCTTGTCTCTACCCTGGACTGAGTATTTACCCTGGTCGCTTATAAAACGAGAAAAAAACAACAAATTGACTGGCCACTTTGTAAACATTTTCAACTTAAAGGTTTCCATAAAACACATGTATACTTAAGTAAAAATATTTTAAAAAATGCCGTGCCGTCGCTCCATACAACACATTACCTCTTAACTTAGAATGACCCTTAACTCTTTTTCTGTTGTTAAGTTGACAATAAAGTCTAGCTCGACGCGTAATATGGAATACCTGGACGAAGTGGGTCAATCGTCTTATTTTCATAACACAGGCCCGAACCGAATCAATGACCACGTAAATCTGCCAGAACAATCGCTGGCACATAAATCAGCCAGAAACTACCAATAAATTGGCCAGTATGCAACGGACATGGGGTGACCAAATTTTGCGCAGTCCTGATGAAATTCCGGATATTCTCTAAAATTCAAAAATTCTTGAAGTTAGCCAACGATTTAGCCATCGAATAGGCGAATGGAGAGAACGCTAAATCGATCCTCGACTGCTGGAATATTGTGGAGAATCCACTATGTCATAAGCATATCAAAATAGTCAACAGTGTTCGAGTTACTTCATTCTCACTTCTAGTGATGATGTGATCCATTATGAGAATTTAAAGACGATCTTTAAGGCAGAAGAATCAGCCAGAATCCAACAGCATGTACGAATGGTAACCCTGAGAGCGCTTGTAGACGTCCGTTTTTTCACCGGACGACGGACCGTCAAAAAACGGATATCCTTTGTTTGCTGTCAATTTTCTCGCCGGACCTATGTCCGATGCATGTGCACACGTTCATTATAAACCATACGCCACCGCTTAATCCGGTGAAAAAATCGGGCCGTTGTCCGGTCAAAAAAACGGACGTCTACAAGCGCTCTAAGCGGACATAACAATATTTCGACACCCATGACTCATATCATCATAACTAACGTTAGGTATTGCAACGCCATACATCCAGACTATGGCGTCTGTAAAAATTAACGCGAAACTTGAACCTTTGTATCGGTGGCAGCTGAGCAAACTGAGGAAATGAGTAATTCTTTCGATGATTTGTGCTATGAACAATGAAAGAAATGAAACTTCTAATATTATAGCTGAAGCAACGATAGCCGAACGGTAAAGGTGTCTGACGGGCTGACTCGCGATCCGAGGAACGCGGGTTCGATCCCCGTAGCCGCTCGATTATGATGAACCCACGCGTAACACAAGCATATTTAGCTTGCCACGAGGGGTTAACGGGATTATTAGTCATTTCTATTTAAAAATGCTTTCCTATGCTTTAATTGAATTGCTTGGCAAGTCCAAGATAACTCTGAGCCCAAGTAGAACTCACAGTCAAAAACAAACATATAGAAAAATCAAGCGAGAATTTTCTATCAACTGACGCGGAAAATAACAGCTCTCTTATTTATTTAGTGTAAATCTTGTGTTGTTTCTCTTAATGGACTTTTATATCGGTATAAAATGAATATTTATAAGCGAATACGTCTAGTTATCTCGTCTTGTCTGATATTTTAATCTTGCTCCAGTTTTTATATCGTGATAAAGTAAAGACAACAAAATGCCTGGAAAGGTGGTCTAAATAATCAACGATGTCCAAATATGATGAGAAAATGAGATGAGGAGTTTGTAGACCACATCCTCTATATTGGATGCCTGGAAGGAAACACTAATTTCAATGATAACCAATAAATATCACGAGAAAATGAGATGACTGTGTAGACCGAACTCTCCATTACCCACTGGAAAATTAGAGACTGTCGCACTGAGCACTATCGCTCCTGCAGTGGAAACTTAATGATGATGAGACAAGGGAACATTCTTTCTCTTTGAGCTCTTGCTAACACAAGCTTTTTAATCGAGATCACGATAATGACAGACCGAAATTCGCGCGTAATCCAATGCTAGTCGTAAATAAATTAGCCTAAATGAAATGGCAATTTAAAATCCGCAAATGAGGCGATCGTATCTTCAGTAAATGAGATCTTGTGGTAACATTTGAAAATCAAAATTGACCTCCATACTCCAACTAGCTGTTAGACGTTTCCTTTCTTAAGTGCTGCAAAAACATTGAAGGAATGATAACGAGCTGTTACGACATGCGCCTGGGAAGTTAGGAAATCGCAAAGTTCCGTTTTCCCTTCTTCCAATTGTTACCTTACGGTTAAGACGAGTTATCTCTAGATTTACACTTCCCTAGACAAAGTGACAGATTAAATCGCTTCACGGATCAAAGGAGAAAAAAGTGTAGCGAATTCAGAATTATCGCCCGTATTCACAAACATTACTATGAGGTCTCACAGTGCGCGTGGACGCCCAGGGTGACACACGAACCTATCACAGAGCTCTATTCAACGCTGTGCGTTCGATTTGCTGCGTCACTTAAGCAAGCATCGTTTGGGAATACGGGCGTAAAAGTTTAAACTGTTACGAACGTTTGTCTAGCTAGGGGGAGTGATTCACAAGGGGACAAATGACAAAAAACACGTGTCGTCTATTGAAATTGTTGTTACTTGTTACATCGGCCGACTTCGCCCCACATAACATGACACGTCTAATCACGTCTTGCAAAGTTAATCGACTGTTTTGCTAATCTGACCATGACTCATCCACCTTAACTAACGTAGGTATTGTAGGTACCTACTGCGAAAGACCTGGACCGATTTTGATGGGATGGGCAAAGAGCATGGTTATTTTATGATATAGGTAGGTATACTTTATTAGAGTCCTGTAAACTACGTGGGCGTACTATTTCATACGACTCCTTACATTTAGAAGTCAAAGGAGAGGTCCTCTACGCGATTGCTAACTAATTTATAGGTGCAAGGTCGCGGCTGAGCGTAGGTAAATGGTATGAGAGAGGTCAGCTTAGTTTAGACTCGAAAGCAATGACGGCATTAAAAATTAGGGAAATAAGCCGCAAGAAAAACCATACAATAGGTTTCTAAGTATGATTTGAGCACTCAAATAACCACGCGCGCAAAAAATACAGAAGGATTGTTAAGGGATAAAGGGAAGGAAAACCATTCAATTATTTTGATAAAACATTCACAGTTTAGTATACAGTCAGGTCATTACTTACACATTGCTTTCTGTCTTTCTATCACAGGTTATTTTGCATTCAACAGTGGAAGACAAACTAGAAACTGTTCGATCACCTGTTACATGCTCAGTGAAGACTCAATCAACCAGACTAATGTAATTGTTGTATTTTAAATGGTTTGTATAATCAAAAACAGGATAATTGAATGTATAAAATCAATTTTTGTGTTACGTATTAACTCTAGAAAGGTAATGAATGATGTAAGTAATAAGTACTCGTAAGCATCGTCAGCGTGTAGTAGTTTATTGTCTTCAAAGTATGCTGTCATTACGTTGTTGATAGTTATGTCTCTAGGATACATAACATTATACACATAATAATATTACAGATTAGTTAAATTAGAATCAAAGTAAGTATTTACATTTGTAAAAGGTTATAATAGGTAGATAAAAGTTTGTATGAACATACTTTGATGTCCTAATAAATGGTACATACCTATGTTGTGAGTTTTTATAATGGTGTGATACAGCACTGTTGTTTACAATGGGCTAAAAAAACATTCTACATCAGCTATACTTTCATTAAGTTAAAACTACAAAGATATTGATAATGTACACATTAGACATTCACAGTTGGCAATGTTTAATTGAGTTTTCCACTATAATTCAAGGTTAATTACATGCTATAACTTTATTCGGAACATGCTTACGTTTCCTACTCACTATGAGCCATTACCAGAAGCTAATAGCTTGTAGAAAACAATAAGACATGCAACGGCACCTTATCTGTAATTTCACGCACATATCTGACTGATGAAATCATTGTTGCAAAGGTGCTACATTTTGTACATTCATAAAAACTAACATTATTTGAACAAGTTGTTTAATTCTCTATAACAGGTAACAGCAGATCATAGTATAATATTAGCTATAATAATTTTAGTTTCTTTTTCTAGGGAAGTTGGTAAGTTTTTAGGTTGCGGGAACCAAAGATGATCTAAGCACAGTTCAATGGATTATAATTATTATTTACAAAATAACACCAAGTTATTGATCGGACATTTCAGTTATATTTTGAGTAATCAATTAATGATTTCAGTTTCCTTTTCATCATAATTTAGGTACTTTACTAATATTAGCAGATTATTTTGCTTGTATTTTGTTGTGAAAACATTCATCTTGCCAAATTATTTAAGCATCAAGAAATTTATTTGATAGGCAGTGGGATGGTGGCAGCATGATTGGCTATATTATTTATTGCATTGGAGACCATTTAAATGTTCAATGAGAAGAAGCATCTTTTCTAGCTTCACAAGGTTATTAAAAACTATCTTAATTCATGAAAACACAACTTACTCAAGAAGTAGGAACTAAACTCGCATTTAATAAATTAGGAAAACATATGAGCAAACACAGTGTAATAAAACCACTGAGACTCCAAACAAGGCCCGTTAAGAACACTCTTGTTTACAGCAATTTTTAGCTTGAAAATGGTATGTAAACATTGACTTACGGTTCTGGACTGTATTGAGCACCTCCGAAGAATCCATGCCTGTCTGGCTGTGTAGTCACTGAGGAGCATATTGACGTAGTGTCAGCCTGCTCCGACCGATCACCTCCAACACTTTTCACACTCTTTTGCAAAGACATTGCGATCACAGTACCCGAATCACCTACTACCTTCTGGCCTGTAACATCACGCACACCCACGAACGCCGATAGCACGACCACAGAGACTGGTGGGCGGACGCATTAATTACAAAACATGTAACTGTTCCGCGCGTTCACGCCCGTCCACGATACAAAACAGTCCAATGCAACTTCACAAAACAACTGGCACGAAGAAATGTAGGTTACACACATACTGCGAAGACCGCCACATAACCAGAGACACTGAATATGGTAGGAGAACGTGCTAGGAATTAGTAAAACAAATAATTTCTTATCAAAACTAAATTCGACGTGTGGGTGGCCAAGTAAAGAACAACATACGTCATTTTTTATAGTGTTGTACACCCCTTTTTATAGCATTCAATTATTTTATTATAACTATTCAATTGATGTATAATATTCATCGGGTTGGTATTCTCGAATTATATTTTCCTCTTCCGCCATATCCGTCCAATCGTTCAAATAGTAAACTTGACAATTCACTTCATCATTCATTCATTCACTCATCATCTGAAAATTTTTAAGGTTATGTTTTAGACAAAACAAAACATTTTCATTTAATTTAATTATTTTTTCTAAAATGAATGTCCTTAGAAAGAATGGTTTGCTAGTGCAATTAAGCAGATTTAATTCTACAGCCACTGAATTTGTCAATAGAAACCCTCGGAACTTGGAGAGGATTCGCATAGCTCGTAAACCCGATGGTTACCACTTAGATAAGCCTGGGAAAAAGTTTTGGCACAAGTATGTTTCAATAAATGCTTATAAATAAATAGTTGCTTAACTTACTGGATAGTAAGAGTTATTTTTGACCTCTAATTTCTTGTATTACAGGCTCATTCTCACTCCTTCAAATCGTATTGTAACTGCCCAAGTGATACACTTTCTCAATGGACCAGTAATCGAAGCAAAGACATCAGAATGGTCTCTTCGCAAGCAATTATACAGTGTAAATGATACCAGCGCATATATTAACCTCGGAAGAGTGTTCGCTCAACGTTGCCTTGAGTCTGGGATAACAGAAATGTATTGCGATATCAAACCTACAAAAGGTGGGAAAGTAGAAAAGTTTATCAATGAAGTTGTAAATGGAGGGATTAAATTAGAAGAACCAGAAGTGTACACTAAACCTCACCCATGGGATCGATTTAGACCAGAAAAGCCTTGGGAAGTTACAGAATAAGTTAATGTAATTTAAATTTAATTTAGTAGTTGTTAAAAATAGAATGAAATAAATTATAATACCCATATACTCTGTAATATTTTTTATTTAAGTTTTTTATGTACAAAAAAAACTATTAAAAAATGCTCCATGCAGGAATGAAGAAGAAGAATAGGTCAAAACTATGCCCTTGCATCTTCTATTATGATTTTGAAGCTTACATTGCTTGCAGAAATTTAAATAATACAAAAATAGAGGTTTAGTAATAAAATACAGATGTGGCAATATTCTTCAGGATTTAAAGATTTTGAAAAAAATGTCAAAAACTGAAGCAGTGATCGACCACTGCACCAGTATCATTATTCCAAAACTTGTATGGAATCCAAGTTATAAAGAAAGACGGATATTACGATTTTTGGTGCACATAAAATGTTATGACGTAGTTCTCCTAGAATCTAGGTCCTCAGGTTTTATTTCTGCAAAGTTCGATGTAGGCAGAATAAAATTTATTCCAAAGATAGAGTTCAGCAATAAAATATCTGTGGTATCATTTGTTATTCATTTCTGAACGTATCCGTTTGAAGGACTTCCGGATACACTCCTTTTTATTTATTTTTCGTATATTTCCATGATCCCTGAAAAAAATGTTTATTAAAATTAGCATAAAAATAAATGTAACGTTTTTAGATAAAAAGTTGGTTTTGCAACGTTTTTAATATAATTTTATAATTCTAAAGTAATTTGCATGAGTCACTTTTAAAAATGGCGGAAACAATGATGGCGTCCATTTTTTTAAAAGCCAGTCCATGAAGAATATAGTTCTCTCTTTCTGACTTATGGCAAAACCCGTAAGCTACTGGGCACGCGTAGTGATCAATATGTCCACGTGATCTGTCGTCAGTCGCGACTCGCGTAATTGCAAAATGCAAAATGTCTGAGAAGGAAACGTTTGTGTTACAATGAAATCATAATATTTTGTTGTTTTATTTGTAGTGTTATAGTTTTAAAATGCCTGCATCAATTGGTGTTAATTTACGTGTGACTGGCCACTGTAGCCAAGGCGGGAGAAAGTACATGGAAGACTTGTTTTCCGTTGCTTATCAACAAACGGAGGATGAGAGGGATTTGGAGTACGCTTTCTTCGGGATTTACGATGGCCACGGCGGGAGCGAAGCTGCTGCTTTCGCCAAAGAGCATTTGATGGACTCAATAGTGAAGCAAAGACAGTTCTGGTCGGACAATGATGAGGACGTTCTCAAAGCAATTCGAAATGGTTACATGTTGACCCATTTGAACATGTGGAAAGAATTAGGTAAACACTTAAAACTTGACTTCTACGGAATAGTTTTCAGTATACTATTACCATCCTAAAATGCTAGTGTTTTCCCAAGGAGAGCCCAAAGTGATTGTTCATGTTTCGTACGACCTTGTTCAGCTCATTATTTTTTCTCGAGTGGTTTGACATTGAGTCAACAAAAGTGTTTCAAACGCTTCTTGCATTATTCTTCGCTGGTTAGATAACAGCAACAAGTATTATGTCCACACAGTTTTTGGGAAGCCCACTCACTGAAGTGAAAGCTGTTCTACTGGTTTGTTTTTATATTGGCGCAAGTTTTCTCTTTTCTGACAATGTTTGAGGCTGTGATTTGATGCTTTAATACTGAAAACATCCAGTAAGGACTATCATAACATCTTGTTTAGATGTTTCTAACCTATGATAAAGCCCGATCAAAATGAAATTCTATAACTTGTTTATTCAAAATGTACTTTTGGAGGGAAAAAAGTCAGCCTGATATTCTTATATGTTTACCTCTTGTTACCTATTATTATCATTACAACTCCATATAAGTGTTGTGAAGGCCATAATAATTATATCATGCATGTTTATTGAGTAACAGATGACTAGTTCTCAATACTTTTGAAATGTAATAGGAACTTTATTTGGTAACTAATTTAAATATACCATTTATTTGCAGAGAAATGGCCAAAAACAGTGACGGGTCTACCCAGCACGGCTGGTACTACAGCAAGCATTGCGTTCATAAGGAGAGGCAAAATATACATTGGACATGTCGGAGACTCTGCCATTGTACTTGGTTACCAAAAAGATGGTTAGTATTGACAAGGAAAACCAATGGGGAAAGGATACCTTACAATATACAATAATGTCATTATTGTATACTATGTAAACATTCATTTATCCTTCTATACACTGGGATGTTGATGAATATGAGCCAACTCTATAGCTAAACAGTGCTTTTGTTCACATTTACTATGATAAAAACTAGAACTAGTTTATAATCAATAATATTACAATGTATATGCCATAGAATTGTATATTAATTTCCATGTGAAGGAGTGTCAAACATTCATAATTCCTCACAAACTTGCACATTTCTTTTAGTAATAATATTACCAGATTCAAATCTGTACTATACATACTTGTTTTATTAAATTTTTAGGTTGTGAAGAATGGGCTGCCAAACCTTTAACGTCGGACCATAAACCAGAATCAACAGCTGAAATCGAGCGCATCCAAAGATGTGGTGGGAAAGTAGTGTCAAAGGCAGGAGTACCACGAGTAGTATGGAACAGACCACGGTTAGGCCACAAGGGCCCTATAAAAAAGAACACGCCTATGGATGAAATACCATTTTTAGCAGTAGCAAGGTCGTTAGGAGACCTATGGAGCTATAATCCTCAAAATGATGAGTTCATAGTCAGTCCGGACCCTGATGTGGGTGTTTTGACAATTGACCCGTCCAAATTTCGGTATGTATCGAGTAAANTGTTAATAAATCCAATTTGATGATTTAAGTCCAGAAATTATGACTATGAATGACTTGGAGTTGGAAAGAACATAAGGCAAATGCCATAATGTGTCACATTTCTTATGTATGAGAACAGTAGCAGTGTGAATCTGGGCCTTTCTGGATTCACACTACACTTTCCTCTGTTCAAAGTGTTATACTTCATACAAACTGTAACATGTAATGAGTCTTATGCCCGTTTTCACCATCAATCCCTAATTTTTAAGTGACCCCCTATGTATACAAAATTCCTGTTATTTGTTATCATAGGGGTCACTTAAAAATTAGGGATAGATGGTGAAAACGGGCATTAGTCTTCTAATCTTCTGTGAATAGCAGTTACATATTATTCTGTAAATTTCATGTAGTAATTTAGAACAGGGGTTTCCAAACTTTGAAGTCTTGGGGCCATAATAAATTTTTCAGTATGTTGCAAGGTTCATAACAATTTTAATTTTTCTGCCCACCTATGCAAACATAGGCTTAGTCTTAAGCTGTCGCGGGCCGGATTGATGCCAATTGCGGGCCGAAGTTTGGAGATCCCTGATTTAGAATATTCTTTAATGTTGAAATTCCAGGTGTCTAATATTCGGGACAGACGGCTTATGGAACATGATATCCCCCGAAGGAGCAGTGAGCTTAGTGCAAGCGACGGAACGGCACAATGAAGCTGCCCTCGTAGGAGGGAACACCAACCAGCCGAGGGACTGGCTCAATCCATCCAAAAGTTTAGTCGACCATGCTCTAGAGAGGTAAACATTATTTATATCATTGAATACATTTTATGAGTGAGATAGTTTTAAGTTTTATTTCAACTGTTTTTTCTTTTGCAATATCAAAGGTAAAATAATAATAACACACTACTTATCTTACCATTAAATCAATCACAGTCACCCATAAATAACAATAATGTCAATTTCTACACGTTATCAGCTTTAAAAAGCGTATCATCAATTAACTACATGCTTATCAAACAGCATAATACCTTTCAGGTGGTCAAACACAAGAATGCGCGCCGACAACACGTCCGTGGTCACATTAATGCTGGACCCGCCCGGCCCGCCGCGCGCCACCGTGCTGCGCTCGCGCACGCAGAAGCCCGCCGCCCTCCCCGCGCCCGCGCGCCCCCGCCGTCGCCCGCCCCGCAGGCTCTAGAGAGGTAAACATTATTTATATCATTGAATACATTTTATGAGTGAGATAGTTTTAAGTTTTATTTCAACTGTTTTTTCTTTTGCAATATCAAAGGTAAAATAATAATAACACACTACTTATCTTACCATTAAATCAATCACAGTCACCCATAAATAACAATAATGTCAATTTCTACACGTTATCAGCTTTAAAAAGCGTATCATCAATTAACTACATGCTTATCAAACAGCATAATACCTTTCAGGTGGTCAAACACAAGAATGCGCGCCGACAACACGTCCGTGGTCACATTAATGCTGGACCCGCCCGGCCCGCCGCGCGCCACCGTGCTGCGCTCGCGCACGCAGAAGCCCGCCGCCCTCCCCGCGCCCGCGCCCGCCCCCGCCGTCGCCCGCCCCGCAGACGACAAGCCCGTGCCGCAGAACGGGCTCACCATCATGACGCGCTACTCCGACGCCGAGCGGCCCGCGCCAGACCCCGCGCCCGCGCCGCCCGCCCGCCCGCCCGCGCCCGCCGACGCGCCCGCCACCTACGGCGACCCCGCCGAGTCCCGCTTCGTGGCGCGCGCGCTCGGCCGCAGCCGCGTCGTCAACACGCTCGGCCACGTCTACGACGAGATCGTGCGCCCGCCCGACCCCGGCCCGCCCGCCACCGCGCTGCCCGACCCCGCGGGCGCTGCGCTCGCGTAACGAGGCCGCGTCGCCGCCGCCGGGCAAGCGCGCGCGGCCGGGCCCGGCGCCGGCGGAGCGCTGTGCGCGGGCGCTGGGCAAGCGCGCGTCGGGCCCGTGGGCGCCGGCGCTGGCGCTGCGCAACCGCCTGCGCCGGCGCCTGGCGAAGTAGCCGCGGCGCCGCCGAGGCCGCCCGTTGTTGTTATTCGTTACGTTCGTCCCCCGAACGATAGTACAAAGAATATATTGAATATTTACGTAAGTTTAACGAGTGGACCAGTCGGATCGGATAAGCCCTGTAGATAATATTTATTCCGCCGCGTCGGCGGTCGTCGATGCGTTCGGCCGGCGGTCGGAGGCGCCTCGCGGACTTGTCGACGAAAAATTTATTGTTAACGATTGCGAGAAATCGTGAATTCTATATTACCGAGAGTGCTTTTCTCAAAATATTAATTAAGAGTGCTGAATATTATGTATATTTAATATTATATTATTATATGATATGATGTACAGATAACGTTTTGTAAAGACACCAAAATTTTCCGTTTTAATAGTGCTAGAATTGTATTTTTTCTATACAAATTTAACTGTTAGGGATCGGTTGTTATTCTTTTGGGAAAAGAAGTTATTTACTTCCTTGGATAGCTTTATTGAGTTTACGCGTTCGACATTGTTACGATGAAGGTTGTCTCAGATTTTATAAGATTTATAGGAGCATGGAAAGAGCTTTGTTTGTTATAAACTTACGTCGAAACATATCGAATAATAATAATAATGTGTGTGTAATGTAAGCGATACAAACCATTGGGATTGAAACAAAACATAGTTTACAAGAAAACTCTGGTGCGTAAAGTTCGTTCTCATCTATTATCTTCATATACATAACTATTATATATTTTTTAATATCAAAGTAATGTGATTACGAAACCATTGATATATTTTGAAACCAAATAGGGTTCATGTGAATACGACTATGTTAAATACTGTAAAAATATACTTTAAATATTAAACCAGAAAAAGATTTGACTAAAAAGTACCTAAGAATGGACTGAAGACTCTTCTATAATATAAATGTGTAATATTAGTTTTATAACAGTCCGACTACGGTGTATTGTTCGTGACATTTTGAAACACCAAAAAGTCGCAATCCAGGGATAGTTTCTGTGGGGTTACTTTGAAAAACGTCATCCCAAGTTTCGAATGTTGCCATCCCTCACACGAGAGAGATGCCAGCATAAGCGACGGTGACAGTAGACCCGAAACTACGTAAACAGCGTTTCAGAGTAGCCCCCCTGGTTTCATAGTTCAAAATAGTTGAAGGATTTTATGAAATATCCTTCGAACATGTCACGAACAGTGCATATTGTTAAACAAAGAAATAATTGTAATAATGATGTGCCTCAATCGTTACCGACATAACAACAATTACATAGGTAAAGTGTTCTTTGATATGAGATATGTATTTTTATTAAAATAAAATTTATGCATTGTAACTTAGATGTAAAAGAGTTAATATAATTTGTTAAGCTAATGTTTCTAGTTGAATTGAATTTTGTCACTTACATCGTGCAGGAGTAAGAGTAGTTTTAGTTAATTACTTACCCAGTTTGTTTGTTTCAAAGATGTAAGTGTACTTTTTTTACAAGTCCAGAATGGATGTTGTAATTTTTGAGGGTAAGAAATGCCTTGAGTAGTAGGCAGGTGGCGACACTTAAACCTACGGTAAAAAGAAGCTAAAACAAATTTATAAGTATACATATTAATTTTAAAGTAAAGGATTATTGTAGATTTTATTTTTTGATTTAAATAAAGTTTGTATGAAATAGATTATTGTTTTTTCTTGACAGTATTTCCCTAAACCAAACAAAAAAACAATGATGTAAAGTATGTTAATCATAATCATCATACATAGTACGACAAAAGAGCAAAAAAAATACTACTACATCGAAATACAGGGTGTAATTTACAACAATTAGATCTAAAAATCTTTAACAAACGTTTTTATCATAGAACTAGGTAGGTTATACGTGTTACTCTTTGCCATTAATCTTTGCTTTAATGAAATGAAACAATCAGAAATGAAAATATATTTCCATAAAAAAAATATTTTTGTGAGAATCAAGCAAGCAGCAGCATGGCTTGAACTCACTGTTCACGTTTTTGTCACAAGCTGTTACATCCTGTATTAGGTACATACATTCGCAAAAATCATTCGTAATTGCAGCAATTTGTTTAAATTGGCAAAACATCTGCTATTGTCTTCCCACGGTGCTGAGTCCTTGAGATTTACCAAACTCAGGTCTAATCTATGTACTAATTTTAGATACGTCTAAGTAATCTTCTTATAATTTGTGGGTACGACGTAGACTTAGTACTGCTGCATCGTCTTTTAGTACCTAAGTAGTAGTTTAGCATTCGTATCGTAGTAAAAAGTTTGCGTAGTTTTCTTAATGCTGTTTCATTATAAAATCTTTTTAATGAAACAGGATTCAAATATTATTAAGATTACGATGATGATTATGATATCAACACTCAATACTTGATTCAAACTCAAGTACGGATTTGAGTGTGTATTTGATCACAGCAGGGTGAGTATAGTAGATNTAGTAGATTCGTGTATCTTCTTCATAGTACAGAATACAGATATATCGTAAGTTAAATCATAGAAGCGAGAAGGGAATGTACGGACGGATTCTAAATTATCTAAGAACACTCATAGTAAGATGCATAGATATAGTATTAAAGTTCAATTCTACACGCTAGGTCGAGAATTCTAGAGATAAGATTGGAAGCCGTGTCACAATACTATCTGATGGGTGTATTTATAAATGATGATTGATGTTCTACCAATCTTAGGCTGACCGAGTGGAGTGGCGCGACTAATCGCCTTGAGTGCAAGGGTTCCCGGGTTTGATTTCCGGTCGAGTCAACTTAAAAACCTAACTCTATCGACTGGCTTACTTGCTCTTGTTAGCATTATTTACCTTCTGTTGAGATATGCTCTTTTCTTACTTGATATCAAGTTTATTTAAGGCCATGATGACGTATCACAATATTGAGTAGGTAATTTGAATATCTGTCTAATGGGCAATAAAATGTGTTCATTTACTACACATAGCAGGGACCAGCGACAGACAACAGATGGTATATTATACTCGTATTACTTTACGTTTCACTCGCTTGGATTCCCTCCCGTTGCATTGGCTTGCGGTCCTCAAACAACAATATCTACGCCTATACAGGCAGGTAAACATTTTTTACGCACCGGCCGTTGCACGCGGAAGCTGGGCGTCCCCAATGAATGGCGGCGCCCCGTGTCGCTACCCGGCCCTCACTACGCTCCCGTCCCGTCACCCTATGTATTTCAAATCGGCTAGGTTATAGTTTGTGCGCGCGACTCTATCGTCCCGCACGATCGTAGTCAGTTACGCGACGTACGAACAATCTGTCGCTCCCGTGTTTATTTTACACCATAATGTGACTTTTCTACAAAATTGTGCGGAAAACCTTTTATTCATACCGTGAAGTGATTAGAGGCTAGAGCTGTGAGTGTGGAGGTGAAATTCGCGGTGTTTTGACGTGAAAAAACGCGGGAAGCAAGTGCAATGCGTTTATCGATCTTTTGCATTGGTGCAATGTATGATAGCGCTACTTATTCGGTTGTTTACTTCGGCTGTTAAATTCCACTGCGCTGGCATTTTGATCTTTTATGAAATCATTTCTATTTATACAAAATACCTAGACTTTAATAAAACATTGATTTTATTTGTGTTGACATTGAAAAGCTCCTAACCTTTTGCGACCGCTAAAGGCTGTTTTAGAGTATTTTTTCTGTATTTTCTAGTTTTCTACTTTGTTGTTTTGCCAACCGGACGCCAATGTAAGCTGTCCAACAAATATATCTGCTATTTCGCATTCTTAACTGATAGATAACTAGTTCTACCAGTTTTTTCCCATCGACCGACCATTATGGGTATTCGGCAATCCGCACCAGTATGATTATTATTACACAGTTTTTGTTCTAATTAAGTTAAGGACATGATACATGTCTAACGAGAACAAAGTAACGATTTTACAAAGGCCATTTTTGGTATCGTAAAAATAAAATTCATTCTGCTCTAAATAACTAGGCAAATAGCTACTTAGTTACGACTCTACTACGTTAAGAATTTCGTATTTATTTTAGACTAAGGCAATCAATAACTGCTTCATAATCACTATGTTTTGCTCTACAAATTATCAATCTGAGGTTACATGCAATATTTCCAGATAGTTCAACTTCAACATTCCTTCACGTAATGCTTAATAATCGGTATACTTTTATTGACTCTACGTCTATTATTTTTCTCGATGTCTTTCATAACAATGTTATTATGGAATTAGGCATTTAAAAAAACCTTTCTGGGTCAAGTGTTAGATAGGTAGGCACGTAGATTTTGCTATTATCTCAAAAATATGGTGTATCTTGAATATCAGATTGAAAGCTTATCGTGTGCTTTCTCTGAAATTGATGAATGTCTACAGTTTCAGTATTAAAATCAAAAAAACATTTTTTTAATGTTCTATAGGCACAAAAACGTAACCTAAAATAGGCCGAGTTACCTTTCAAACTCTTTCGAATCTATTCGATTAATTAATTCATTAGACGAGTCTATTTTGACCTGTGAAGTAAGCTATTTAAATAATTAGATTACATTATTTGCTTGTTTATCAATAACATTACAAGATACTGCTATTTATTCTCCAGTGTAGTTCCAATTAGGACGTTATTGCGTAATTTACGATGTAGAGTTGATAAGCAATAATTTACTTAATTGAAATAAGTACACACATGACATAATTTGATGATAGTGTAGTGTCCTATTACTTTATTATACTGCATTGTTCAATCAAGTAAAGGATAATCAAGCCATTCGTACCTACCCACTCGGCTTTTGGCATTTGTATGGTAATATCGTGTAGTTAACACCTACCTTCTCAAAGTTATAGCCATTGAGACCTTAGTGTCAAAAACATAAAGTTAGTGCGCCTTATTTAGTCATCTTGATTCTACAATTGAACTGACTAGGTACTTTACCTTACCTACTTTAATCGTCTAAAATCAAAAGTCCTTTTCTACTGAGAAAAGAAATATCTCAAAATGTAACGGTTGATGGGATCTCGACTCTACTAAGAGGGAAAGCAAATTAACATGTAAAATCCTTAGTTTATCTTAACAATAAGCCACATCGTCGCTTTCTGGAGTGATCTGGGTTGGTTAGAGTAAGAAAATAAACCACAAATGCCATATAATGGCCCAATCAAGAGGCTAAGTGCGGTTTCAAAGCTCCACAAAACTAAGTCAACATCCTACTAAACCTATTGGATAATTTGCACCCAAATAGGTACATCTGATATTAGTATATCATTATGTGACTGTACTTTTAATAAGTAAGTACGTACTTGAAACTAAACCTTCCATCAAATCATCAACCTGTGTCATGGTGGGTGCCATTCTGGTCCAGATGGATGCGCAAGCGCCACGGGCTGATAACCAAGCACAAAGCATGAATGGGAGAGGCGCAGCACTCGCTATGACAGTGCCATTGACGCACTAGACACTATTATAGTGCTGTAACAATGTAGACCCACCCTGCTACTAAGTATATCTTCTATCTACATTATGTATGTCTACATTGTCTACATAAATAATGTAACACAAGCACAACACTGTAGAAAGTGCGACTCTACATAAAACATAGTCAAGATGTTATTTAGGATCAGTAAAGTCTAAATATTCAAGTACATGGTAGTTATGTAATATTTGTCAACCTTAACAAACTAGCGACCCGCCCCGGCTGCTTAAAGTAAACCTTCCTCTTGAATCACTCTATCTATTTAAAAAACTGTATAAAAATCCGTAGGGTAGTTTTAAAGATTTAAGCATACTTACATAGGGAGAGACAGCAGAAAGTGACTTTGTTTTATGTAGTGATAGTGACCTTACTAAGCAATCCACACCGTCTACCCCTGTTGCCCGGGTAACCGGCTCCAGCTGATGGGGTTCGAACTACGAGTAGATACTTCTTTTTCTTTTCTCTTCAACTTTAGCCGTGAGCTAGCATTGTCTCGAGCGGAAAAGTTTCTGACATTTTTCCTCATCAAAAAACAAATTGCTGTTTTCTGAATTTGCGATTTGTGGAACCCAAACTGTATTGTCCACCCACAGCCAATTGATTACCTTTTGAGAGTTAACTGTTCCCCCATTCATAGATTAGGCAAGCCCGTCAAGTTGCAGTCGCCATGATGAAAACGCGAATTGCTGATACGTTTTTTATTTATTGTCTTAGCGGTTCGACACTGCTTTCTATAATAGAGGCAGTCTTCTTGTTTGTATTGGAAATTGCTTTGAAATAAAGAAACCTCTAAAATTAACTAGGTGGCTGTACATTGGCCAGATGAGGGTCAGGGTTTTTTGCGCCAGTAGAGTCTAAAATACACATAGCTCGAAGAGCTGATGGCCGCTGGGGCAGAAAAGTTCTTGAGTGGCGACCACGAGCTGGAAGACGTAGCGTGGGCAGGCCTCCCACTAGGTGGACCGACGATCTGGTGAAGGTCGCGGGAAGTACCTGGATGCAAGCGGCGCAGGACCGGTCTTTGTGGAAATCCTTGGGGGAGGCCTTTGTCCAGCAGTGGACGTCTTTCGGCTGAAACGAACGAAGAGTCTAAAATATAGAGCCTGTAGGCTGAAAAACTAATGTTAGGTTTTTTATTTTAGTTGTAGCTGCGGCTACCATGTTTGACAGACTACACATTAATGAATAAATTTAAAGAGGTTGACTTTTAAAAAAGACGGGAGAGTGTGCCATTATAGCGATTGGAGTTATTACTCGTAGTAGGTACCTACCATGTTGGTACACAAACTAGCCAAAGGTTTTTGCACTTTTATGTATTCGCCGGTTGTCACGCGAAAGCCGTATCACATTATGTAATGCGGTTTGCGGCTTACTATGTTCTAATAGGATAGCCATTTAAACCTATATTATTATTTTACAAGATCGGAAAATGCTGTAAGCTTCTGAGAAAACGGGACGTGACAGGACAGATAAAATGTTTAGGGAAACCCCAACAGAAGAACTCGAAAGTATTTAAAGCTCGATGAGATGCACCCTTTAGGCCTTTGGACCTAATTACCCTCATCGCTACCGGACTATTGGTAGTATTTTCGCTGCATTGCTTGCATCTTGCTCACTCCAGATTTCTAAACTGAGTGGAAAGTGTTGTGGAAATAACGAAATCTGATTGATATATTCAAACACATCTCTTCTTTGGTGCAATTGATTTATTCAAAAACATCTCTTCTCTCCGCTATGATGGAAATCGGGCCTAAGAAATGTGCGCAGGCGCCGCGATCTCGCGAAAGCGTCGCGGTGCGGTCGTTTTTTGTTTTGCCCGATGCAAGCTCACGCCGCGATTTCTTTGTTGACGCTCATTTACTCTGTAGTACGTCCAAAAGATCTGAATTATCTGATTATTTTCAGTGTTATCTTTCAACCAGGGGTTCCAAGGAATTTAAATAATAGTTCTCGAGGCTTTTTGCTACAATAAACCGGTTTAGTGACGCTGTTGTATGATTATTTCATGTCAGCAAGGCTTAACATGTCAGTCTCATTAAGCTACATAATATGTCAGACTCTTGGAGGCTCAAAACATTCTTGGAGCTCAACACAAAGGTTGTAATTTCAGTGGTCACCTATAAATTAGAATAAGTAACAAACTACTTATTATAGTCTACCATATCTCACTGCTCCTGACTATCTTCAAACTCGATTAATCTTGTAAATATGGCCACTCTTAAAATTTTACTCGTCTTATTACACGACTTCGTACGCGGGATTTGCAAAATCCCGTCTTAGTGAGCGTTCTAAAAGGAGCCCCCATGCAAAATTTGAGACTCCTAGCACATGTAGTTTCTGATATTTCGTGATGAGTGAGTCAGTCAATAAGTGACCTTTTGCTTTTAACTTAAAGATTAGATTGCATTAACTAGACAGGACTGTCCTCATATTCTACGAAGAATTGCACATCCTACTATAGAAAACTTTTTAATGGTGACAAAGAGACTTAGTGCGGCCACCGCCATCGCCGGCATCGGTGACAACCGACTTTTCACACATTTCCCGACAAATTACTGACTCTACAATAGAATACAGTGACTACCTACTTATGGTATTAATGTGTATTGTGATTGCCCGTCTTGATGACGAAGTAGGTTTAACTTCAAGTTCTTAATGCTATTTGCGATAGCAACTAACAATCTTCTTCATTTGACCTCCAGAAATGTAGAGACCTACATTTCGTAATTAATTTTAAAGTTACAGTAACTATAGCTGAGTAAATAGAGCTTAAATATTATAGAGAAATACAATAAGTATATAAAAAGACAAATGCCAGCCAGTTATTCTTTAAACAGGATTTTATACAAATCATTATTTTTCCAAAAAACAGGTAGTGAACAAACTTTTTAATATAAACGTGAACGACTTTATTAAATAAAACTAAAAACCAAAGTATTTGTGATTTAAGAAGTACTGTGATATGAAGTGATACCCAAATGACTTTGAAGTGCCTAACTTTGGATGAAAATTATACTGTGCAAGCAAACGAAATCAGCAATCAT